TTAATAACAAACAATAAATTTACATGGACACGCGGACGCGCTGCGGATCGGGAAGCCCCTGCTACTTACAATAATCCAGCCGCGCCTCGGCTCTTCCCGAGAATTGTTTTATTGCCGGCTCCTCTCCCTCTCTCCTCCCCTCTTCCTCTCGCTCTTTTCTCTCCCCTTTTATTTATTTAATTTTTTTTTTTTTTCCCCCCCTCTCTCCTCGCCGTCCCTCCGCTCTCTGTTTTTTTAAAGGACAGTTGAATTTCACGTCAGACGCGGGGAGACCGCGGCTGCGATTTTCCTGACGAATACATATCTATTCTGCAACCTCGGCATTAATTATTTAATGAGCCACGTGATGGGGAAGGGGGAAGGGGGTCTCTCCGTTCCGCACTCCGAGGACCACTGTGACCTTCCACCGGAACACGATTTTTTTTAAAAAAAAAAAAAAAAAAAGAACTTTCCACCCCAGCGCCGACCGCGGACCCCTCTGCGCGGAGAGGGGCGCCCAATTCTCTGTGAAACCCCGCGATTTTGGGTTATTTCCCCACCCCGAGAGCGCCCAAACCCTTCCCTAAACCCTTCCTGGAACTTGGCTTTGTTGGACGTGGCTCAGCCGGAGCAAATCCCGATTTTTTTTCCCGATTTTTCGGGTTTTTTCCCCAATGCGCACGCGGAGATTTTGAGCACAAATCTCTCCTTGAATGGCGCAACTGCTCCAGAGAGCCCAGAGCAGCTGAGAATATTTCTGATTTTATTTTTAAAAGCTTTTCCAGCTCCCCCGACTCCCAGGCCTTGGCTGTTATTATTTGGCCGGATTTTATTGCGTTAGAGCCGGAGGAGGGGAGGGAAAAAAGAGGCGAAAAAATCAAATTTTGAGTCCGAGGAGAGCTGCCAAGTGGGAAATAAATAAAAAAAAGAGACGCGGAGAGAGCAACAAAGGAGAGCGCTGGGAAAGGCCGCGAGCAGGAGCCGGGCAGGGGGGGAAGGGATCCCCCAAAATCTGGCACCGAGCAGAGCCCAAAACCTCCAAAACCCCGGGGGTCGCAGCCCCGAGCAGCCCCTCCGAGCACCCCCAAATTCCCGGCCGGGATAAACCCGGAGGGAAGCCAAATTAAAGGGGAAAATAAAGAATTCAAAGCGTAAAAAAAGCGGATTTTGGACTCGCTGGAAGGCGAGCGGGCCGGGAAATGCTGGGGTTTCCAAACCTCGATTATTTCTGCATCGATTTTATCGAGTGCGGGGCTGGGAGGGATGAAAAATCCGATTAAAAAGGGTTCCTGGGGGGGCTCCATCCCAGGGGAAACTCCGCCGGGCGAGGGAATTTTAGGAGAGCTTCAGGTCAATTCAGAACCCGCAACTTTCACTTCATAAAAACTTCTCTATTTTTTTTTTTCCTTTTTTTTTTTTTTTTTTTTTTTTCCCCATATCCCGCGCGCGAAGGGGCAAACGCATTCAAAAAGAGAAAAGAACAACAACAAAAGGGAACAAATCCACGGCGGGCAGCAAACGGAGCGCAGAAAACCCCCCCACCGCCGGCGTTTTTTTGGGGTCGTAAAAAAAAAAAAAAAAAAAATTAAGTTCCACGATTTTTTTTTTGTTGTTTTGTTTTAAAAAAACCCCGCTTCAAAGGGTCTGCCATAAACTCGGAGGTGCCGCGATCAAAGGCGTCGCCTTTGTGAAGATAAAACGCGCGCTTCTCCCGCGCCAGGCCCGCCTTGATTTACGCTCCGAGCCGCGCCGCTCTTATTGCGCCTCGTAAATCTGTCAGCGGGCGCTGAGAAAGCCCCGGGCGCCTTCCAAGGGACCCGGAGCCACTCGGGGACAACGCCACCCCCTCCCCGCCGCTGTCCCCGGGTCCCCTGCGCGACCCCCGAGCTCCCCCCGGCTCCGCGCGGAGGGAGGCAGCGCGGAATATATTGAATTTTTGGGGGGGTTTTCGCCGCCTCGCTGCAGTCCTGACTGCCCGCTGGGGGTGGGATCTGAGGTTTGCTCACGCAGTCACCTTTTTTTGGCCAAGTTTGGGGGTTTGGGGAGGATTTTTGGTTCAGTTTGGGGGGGTTTGACACAATTTTGGGGATTTTGGGAGGATTTTTTGGTTCTGTTTGGGGATTTTTTGACCCAGTTTGGAGGTTTTTGGAGGATTTTTGGTTCAGTTTGGGGGGGTTTGACACAATTTTGGGGATTTTTGGAGGATTTTTGGTTCAGTTTGGGGATTTTTTGACCCAGTTTGGGGATTTTTGGAGGATTTTTGGTCCAGTGTGGGGATTTTGGGAGGATTTTTGACACAATTTGGGGGGTTTTTGACCCAATTTGGGGATTTTTGGAGGATTTTTGGTCCAGTGTGGGGATTTTGGGAGGATTTTTGACACAATTTGGGGTTTTTTGGACCAAATTTGGGGATATTTGGAGGACTTTTGTTCCAGTGTGGGGATTTTGGGAGGATTTTTGACACAATTTGGGGGGTTTTTGACCCAATTTGGAGATTTTTGGAGGATTTTTGGTCCAGTGTGAGGATTTTGGGAGGAATTTTGGTTACATTTGGGGGGGTTTTGACCCAATTTGGGGATTTTTGGAGGATTTTTGGTCCAGTGTGGGGATTTTGGGAGGATTTTTGACACAATTTGGGGTTTTTTGGACCAAATTTGGGGATATTTGGAGGACTTTTGTTCCAGTGTGGGGATTTTGGGAGGATTTTTGACACAATTTGGGGTTTTTTGGAGGATTTTTCCTCCAGTTTGGGGATCTCTGGGTGGATTTTAGTCCAATTTAGGGATTTTTGCCCCAATGTGGGCTTTTGGACCAAATTTGGGGATATTTGGAGGACTTTTGTTCCAGTGTGGGGATTTTGGGAGGATTTTTGGTTCAATTTGGGGGTTTTTTGACCCAATTTGGGGATTTTTGGAGGATTTTTCCTCCAGTTTGGGGATCTCTGGGTGGATTTTAGTCCAATTTAGGGATTTTTGCCCCAATGTGGGCATCTTTGGGTGGATTTTTGGCCCAATTTCGGGATTTCCCCTCCAATTTAGGGTTTTTTGCTCCAATTTGGGGATCTTTGGATGGATTTTTGGTCCAGTTTGGGGACCTCTGGGTGGATTTTAGTCCAATTTAGGGATTTTTGCTCCAATGTGGGCATCTTTGGATGGATTTTTGGTCCAGTTTGGAGACCTTGGAGGGATTCTTTTGTCCCATTTGGGGGATTTTGGGGGATTTATTTTGCCTCAGTTTTGGGGATATTTGGGTGATTTTTCCCTCTAGTTTTGGGGACCTTTGGGGGGATCCTTTTGTTTAATTTTGAGATCTTTCAGGGGATATTTTGGTCCACTTTTGGCCATCTTCTCGTGCATATTTTTGGTCCAGTTTGTGGATCTTTGGGTGAATCCTTCTGCTCCAATTTTGGGTGGTTTTTTTCCCAAATCCAGGGATTTTTTGGGTGATTTTTCGCCCAGTTTTTGGGCAGGGATAACAAGGAGCTCCCCAAGGATCCCCGCGCTGAGCCCGGAGCGCCCCGGCACTGGGTGGAGGAGGAGGAGGAGGAGGAAGAGGAGGAGGAGCAGAGGGGCTCTGCAAACAAAGGAATTTCTGAAAATCAGCGCCCAGCCCATCCCGCGGCTCCTCTGCTCCTCTCCTCCTTTGCTCTTGGCTTTTTTCCCCCCAAAAAAAATTAAATTTGTACCTCCAGCCCCGCCCTCACGGCCCAAAATCCACTTCCCAACCCAAAACGAGGCACAAAATCCCGATTTTTACACAACCAAACGAGACGAGCAGCGCCGTTAGGCCCGGGAGGATTAAACCAGAGAAATCAGAAATAAATCAACTTTCAGGATTTCTTTTTTTCCCCCCAATTTTTGCTCCTCCGGGGCCGGACAGGCCGGGCTTTGCTGGGCTGGGGGATGAGCTCAGTGTCCGGCCTGGGGGAGGTCAAGGGGTTTGCGAGGTCACTCCTGGGCTGTAAAACCCGGCTAAATGGGGCAGAAAAGGTGAACTCTGCGTGACCCCGGCCTGCCGAGCCCCCTTTCCCAGGGAAATGACCCGGGACAGCCAAAATCCCGGGATTAAACGGCCCCGGGCTGGGCGCGGGTGCTGGGCCAGGCCTAAAGCCGGGATGTGCCTGGGATGGTTTAAACCGGGAACGTTTCTGGGATGGTTTAAACCGGGAATATTTCTGGGGTGGTTTAAACCGGGAATGTTTCTGGGGTGGTTTAAACCGGGAATATTTCTGGGGTGGTTTAACCCGGGAATACTCACATTTCTCGGGACAGTTTAATCTCGGAATATTTGTATTTCCCGGGACAGTTTAACCCGGGAATGTTCGCATTTCCCGAGACAGTTTAACCCGGGAATACTCACATTTCTCGGGACAGTTTAACCCGGGAATATTCGCATTTCCCAGGACAGTTTAACCCTGGAATGTTCACATTTCCCGGGACAGTTTAACCCGGGAATATTCGAATTTCCTGGGATAGTTTAACCCGGGAATACTCACATTTCCCGGGACAGTTTAACCCTTGAATGTTCGCATTTCCCGGGACAGTTTAACCCGGGAATATTCACATTTCTCGGGACAGTTTAACCCCGGAATGTTCGCATTTCTCGGGACAGTTTAATCCCAGAATGTTCGCATTTCCCGGGACAGTTTAACCCGGGAATATTCGCACCCAGCAGCCGCTCCACCAAACCTTCCCCAAACCGTCCCGTGAGAGATTTAACTCGGGAAAAAAACGGGGAAAAAAACCGAGGAAAATCCCGACTTTTGAGCATAAACCCCCAAATCTCCACCCGGACCAAAATCCCAACCACGCCCAGCCCCAAACCCAGACAGAACTAAAGAAAAAAACCCCAAAATTCCTCTCGCCAGCGAGACCCGCCCCGAAAACCGAGGGAAAAAACCCAAAACCCCACACGGGAACTGGCGGGGAGTTTCTCTTCCCGCCTCTATTCCACAAAAACTCCTTTTTCCTCCGCATTTCACCCCAATTTCCCCCTCCCCAAGGCGTGCCGGGCTCCGTTACCTGCTCCGCTCCCAAATCCTTTTTCCAACGCCCTCATGCTCGGGGTGCTTCCTTCCAAACTCAAGGGGGAGAGGGAGGGGGGCTGCTGCAAATTTGCTTTTTTCTCCCCCAAAAAAAAGGAATCTTTCGCCTTTCGGGCGCGGGATTTATTATTAGCGATATCGCTGCTATAATTCTTATTAATTCTAATTATCACCGCGGCCCCTGAAGGTTTCTTGGAGGGCTCCGGGTGCTTTTTTGCCGCCAGACGGTCTGCGGAGATTTGCTGTTGAATAACAATGGGAAAAGGGATAAGTATTTAAAGAAAAGGAGTGATTAATGATTTTCTGTATAATTCTCGCATTTTTCTTGCCTTCTGTCCGCTCCTAATGGCTGTGAACTTTCAGGTCCTATAGAAATCTCCTTTTCTCCCCCTTCCATCCCATTCACGCTCCCCCAGCTTTGATTTGCCCCCACGGACCCCGCATTCCTGCCAGCATATGCCTCCTTTTTTATTTTTTTTTTTTATTTCCCCCCCTTTTTTTTTTGGTTTAAAACACCCGGTTTTGGCCATTCTCAGGAGCCCCCTCTCGAAAATCGCACCCTCTTCCCAAGAGCAGCGGATCAAAGGGAGGGACGACCGAAGCAAGAGCCCCAAGCCTTGAGGAATCCGGATAAAATACAGCCCTGGCCCAGAAAATAAATAAAGAAAGAGGAAAAAAAAAAACTAAACTCGCAAGTTTCGCTGTCGCCACCTCTAAAACCGCGAGAATTAAACCAAAATCCGGCCATAAATCCGATTTTTTTTTTTTTTTTACATCACACCGAGCGGAGCCCCGACCATGTGACCGCACGTTTTATTTTATTTTATTTTATTTTATTTTATTTTATTTTATTTATTTTATATATTTATATTTATAGCTATATTTTATATGTATAGCTCTATATATTTGTATTTATATTTATATTTATATTTATATTCACATTTATATTCATATTTATATTCACATTTATATTTATATCTCCACTTATTTCTATCCTTACACCTACCCTTCTATTTACATTTACACTTAAATTTATCCCTCTACTTTTTACACTTCCGCCTCTCCTCATATTTATACCCATCCTTAAATTTCACATATTTTTATTCCCATTATCATCATTATTCCAGAGCCCAACATCCTTTTGCATGCATTCCTATAATGGTAAAAAAAAAAAAAAAAAGAAAATGAAAATTAATACAAGAGCTGCGGCTCACAAAAGGAGCCATTTGTCTTCTTGATTATCTATTTGCTTGTCAGGCCGTGAGCTATCGCAGGAGCGGAATCCGATGTAAAACCCAAAAACCCACCCAAAAAAAAACCAAAAAAAAAACCAAAAAAAAAAAAGCCAACACCCAGAAACATCTGGGCCAAAATTAGACTCATTAATGCATTAACTACCTCGGAGGAGGAGGGATTTAAAAATAAAAATTAGCAATAAAAGATTAGAACTAAATAAAAGCGGGGAGATCTCTGGAGAAAGGCGAGGCAGCAAAGCGTTAATGAGCGGCCCCGTTCGGTCCGGGGCTCGGAAAAAGAGAATTAATCTGCGCTTTGGACAAATAAATCATCATATCTGAGGCTTAGAGCTGCTCAAACATCTTTTGTTTTCATTAGGGGGCGGCGGGCCGCGCCGCTGACAGCAAAAACGACCAAAAAAAAAGGGGGGGAAATGGGAAAAAATTACAAATAAACGGATTATTCACGGCTTTAAATAAATATATTTATTTTTCCACCCGATAAATAACCCGAATCCAGCCTCGCCCCCCCGAGAAAAGAACCACGCAGGGGTAGATTGGCCATGGAGGATTTATTTCTGAGCGGTTTTTTGGGGTTTTTTTGGGTGTTTCCAGGTAAATCAGGGCACCCCGGGGGATGGAGGCGGCCGGGGGGGTCCCCTCCAGGCCCGAAATTCACATTTTCAGCCCCAAATCGGAGCTTTGGGGGCGCTCCCGGTTTATCCCAGTTGATCCCAGTTGATCCCAGTTCCCGTGTCCCTCCCCACCCCCCTCGCTCACAAGGAACCTGCTGGGTTTCACAAAAAAAAAAACCCAAAAAATCCAAAAAAAGGGTCTGATCCCGCTCCATTCTCTTCGTTTATTTGTCCAATACCTCCTTCACCCAATTTTCTTTTTTTTTAAATTTTTCCCTCTGGTATCACAAAGTTCCCAACACCCCGGAGGAGATTTTGGGGTTTTTTGTTGAGTTTTGGTGATTTTTGGGTTTTTTTGTCTCTCCAATTGCATCTCTTTGGGACAACGGAGCAGAAACTTCGGGATTGGGAAGGAAGAGAGGAAGGGAAGGAGGAGAGGGGAGAAAATTGATAAAGAAAATGGAAAAAAAAGGGGGGAAGGGGGGGAAAAAGATAGGAAAAAAAAAGGAAAAGAAAGAAAAAGACAGAAAAAAGAAAATTTTAAAAATTAAAAAGAAAAAGAGGGGAAAGAGAAGAAGGGAAGAAGGAGGGGGGAAGGAAATTGATAAAGAAAAAATTTTTAAAAGGGGAAAAAAAGGGGAAAAACACAAAGAAAAAAAGGAAAATAAGGTGAAAATAGAAAGATTTTTAAGAAGAGGAGGGGAAAAGCGAGAAAATAAGAGAAAAAAAAATGAACCAAGAAAAAAATAAAGAAAAATAAAGAAAAAAATAAAAAAAGGGGGGAAAAAAGGAGAAAAAAGGAGGAGAAAAAAGCAAAAAAGGGGGCGGTGGAGAAGATGCAGTTGGTGGGGAAGAGGCTGAGGCTCATTTATTAAAGCGAGCGCGGCTGTCGGGGTAATAGCAGACATAAGGTCCATCCTTTGTACGGGAGAGTAAACATGACAAATGGGGCCGAGCTCGGCGTGATTAAAGATGAAACAAGGATCCATCTCAGCCAAATCTCCAAAAAAAAGAGAAAAAAAATCCTTCTCCAGCCTCCTCTTCCCGGAGCAGCCCCGGCTTTGTGCTCAGCTGAGCCTCGCGCTGGCCCCGTCACAAATAGCCTGTCCCCGTGGTTAAAATCAGCATAAAGTGATCAAAATTCAAATGATTGGTGGGAATAACCAGTATGGGCCTGTCCCCGTGGTTAAAATCTGTGTAAAATGATCAAAATTCAAATTATTGGTGGGAATAACCAGCCCCCGCCTGTCCCCGTGGTTAAAATTGGCATAAAATGATCAAAATTCAAATTATTGGTGGGAATAACCAGTATGGGCCTGTCCCCGTGGTTAAAATCGGCATAAAATAATCAAAATTCAAATTATTGGTGGGAATAACCAGCATGGGCCTGTCCCTATGGTTAAAATTGGCGTAAAAATTATCAAAATTCAAATTATTGGCGGAAATACCCAGCCCCCGCCTGTCCCCATGGTTAAAATAAAAATAAAAATTCAAATTATTAGCCATAAATAATGAGCACCCTGTCTGTCCCCGCTGTTCCAATCAGTGTAAAAAATGATAAAAATTAAATTATTGTGTCTTTCCCTCTGTGCACTCGCACGAGTTCGCACCCACGCCACACGCGCGTCCAGTGGGGGGTTATGGGGATGGAGTTTGGGATCCTGCTCCTTGTGGGATTTCAGTTTGGGATCCTTGTGGGATCTGGCTTTGGGATCCTCCTCCTTGTGGGATCTGCAGGTGGGATCCGCCTCCTTGTGGGATCTGCAGTTGGGATCCTCCTCCTTGTGGGATCTGGGTTTGGGATCCTCCTTGTGAGATCTGGGTTTGGGATCCTCCTCCTTATGGGATCTGGCTTTGGGATCCTCCTTGTGGGATCTGCAGTTGGGATCCTCCTCCTTGTGGGATCTGGGTTTGGGATCCTCCCTGCAGGATCTGTGATTGGAATCCTCCTTGAGGGATCTGTGGCTGGGATCCTCCTCCCTGTGGGATCTGCACTTGGGATCCTCCTCCTTGTGGGATCTGCTTTCAGGATCCTCCTTGTTGTGGGATTTGTGTTTGGGATCCTCCCTGTAGGAGCTGTCTTTGGGATCCTCCACCATGTGGGATCTGCACTTGGGATCCTCCTCCTTGTGGGATCTGACTTTGGGATGTGACTTTGGGATCCTCCACCCTGTGGGATCTGCACTTGGGATCCTCCTCCTTGTGGGATCTGCATTTGGGATCCTCCTCCTTGTGGGTTGTGACTTTGGGATGTGAGAAATGCAAAATGGGGGGGGGAATAAGTAGAAATGCAAAATAATGGTGGGGGAAATAGGTGAAAATGCAAAATAATGGGGGGAAAATAAGTAGAAATGCAAAATAATGGGGGAAATAGGTAGAAATGCAAAATAATGGGGGAGAAATAGGTGGAAATGCAAAATAATGGGGGGGAAATAGGTGAAAATGCAAAATAATGGGGGGGAAATGTGTGGAAATACAAGGAAAAGGGCAAAAATAGGTGAAAATATTTAAAAAAAAATGGGGGGGGGATAGGTGGAAATGCAAAATAATGGGGGGAAAATAAGTAGAAATGCAAAATAATGGGGGGAAAATAAGTAGAAATGCAAAATAATGGGGGGAAAATAAGTAGAAATGCAAAATAATGGGGGGAAAATAAGTAGAAATGCAAAATAATGGGGGGAAAATAAGTAGAAATGCAAAATAATGGGGGGAAAATAAGTAGAAATGCAAAATAATGGGGGGAAAATAAGTAGAAATGCAAAATAATGGGGGGAAAATAAGTAGAAATGCAAAATAATGGGGGGAAAATAAGTAGAAATGCAAAATAATGGGGGGAAAATAAGTAGAAATGCAAAATAATGGGGGGAAAATAAGTAGAAATGCAAAATAATGGGGGGGAATAGGTGGAAGTAAAAGAAATAAGGGCAAAAAGATGTGAAAATATTTTTAAAAAATGGGGGGGAATAGGTGGAAATGCAAAATAATGAGGGGGGGAAATGTGTGGAAATACAAGAAAAAGGGTAAAAAAAGGTGAAAATATTTTAAAAAATTGGGGAGAAGATGTGAAAATATTAAAAAATGGGGGAGGGAATATGTGGAAATGCAAAATAATGGAGGGAAATATGTGGAAATACAAAAAAAGCAGGTGAAAATATTTTAAAAAATTGGGGAGAAGATGTGAAAATATTAAAAAATGGGGGGGAAATATGTGGAAATGCAAAATAATGGGGGGAAATATGTGGAAATACAAAAAAAAGGGGAGGAAGATATAAAAATGTTAAAAATGGGGAGGGAATAGGTGAAAATGCAAAAAAATGGGGGAAATAGGTGGAAATACAACAAAAATAGGGGGAAGATGTGAAAATGTTAAAA